GTGAAAACAATCTGAAACTGATTAAGCATGTGCATGTCACCAGGCTACTCGATGCATGTGAGAGTCTAAAAATAGCAAAATGTAAGAAGAGCATGAATGGTAATAAGGGACCCATCCCGTTTAGCCCGCTTTTTAATCTTCTGTTAGGAAGAGAATAATAACTAAGAACTTGCAGGTAGTTAATTACCGAGAAATTCCATACTGGTATACAACCTCAGGTAACAACTTTTAGTATATAAGGACTAACCAGACTAGACTAGGTATCAATTTTCTTCTCCTGAGGATGCTGACTTTGTTGGCGAAATGCGCGTCGAGTGCAAAAATATCAGTTTGGTGTTAGGGCAATTGATCTCGAAAAAAGTTATTCAACTGTTCTTCTAATTGATGATTTTTGATATCACTGACAGCAAAGCGACTGGTCTATAGTTATTTGGAAGATTTTTCTTGCCCTTTTAGGGAATAGGCTGAATGCGAGCAATCTTTCAACAAAAAGGAAAAATCCCTTGCGCACTTTTTAAGTACGATGACGGATACTTCATCAGGGCCAGATGCCTTGTTGATATTGAGCTGTTTCAAAATTCGCCTGACTAGACGTTGTCGAAAAGTAATTTCCGGCATTGTATATTCTAGTGGATGGTGTCTTTCCCAGAAAATCAACTGTGGAGTGGGACGCAAATTGTTCATATAGTAGATTTGCTTTTTCTGTGGCTGTTGTTGCAATTGAAATAAAAAAAAACATAAAAATCCATTGGAAAATTCTCTATTGGAAACACTATAGAAGTACGGAGATTATTTCATGTTGAGTGAAGAACCCATAAGAACTCAGTTAGTGACAAAAACATGTTTTGCTCTGGTTAAAATAAAAATGACAGCCTCAATTCTCCTTCTGCCATTGTTTTATTTTTTTCTGATGCAACTTCATTATTATTTTCAAAATACAATTTTTCAAATAATAATGATTTAATTTGCCCGAGAAATATGCATGTAGGGAAAAACCTTCAAAACTATAAACAAAAAAAAAAGGTAAAATTGAAAAGAGGACATGAATAAATAAATATTCATTCAGATTCTAATAATGAAAGAATAATTATCAACATCGTATCAATAAACGTATCAATGAATACAGTTGTAAATTCGAAATTTTTGTTTGGTAGCTCGTAGTGAAACTTTATACTTTTATAATAATCGAATTTTCTCCAATATCTGTTATCATGAATTGAAGGGGTTATATTTTTAGGAGTGATTAATTTTTGGGAAAGAAGGTTTTTGGCTTTCTACTACTCCATCTCGATACAAAAAAAGATGAGGGAATCTAAATTTGAATGTGTTTTTTGACTAAATAATGTATGGGGGTATAACCGAGCAGGGCACCCCGTACTATATACTCGGCATAAACTCGCTACGTGACTAAGAATAACCAGAGTGCTGTGTACTCACCTTCTCCTCCAAACATTTTTGTTGGAATTGATCCAGAGTTCAAAGATAACACTATATGCCGAGCTCCATAAATAGCACGATTTATTGGGCCCTCCCTCCTCACGATACTGGAACCGCTGGCACCGCTTATTGACGGCTGATTTGTTCTGACTATCGGTCTCATCACTCTATGACCAAGAGGATTTTCTACAAGCAAGTAACCTAGGCCGGCTATCGTATTCAGGATACTAGTATCGGGTGCATAGAACTTTATAAAATCGCCTTCAAAGGGTGGCAGATCAGGAGTTCCAGCCAAGATTTCTCGTAACTCTGTCCTAGTTCGTTCGGTGAGCGATAACAACTCAACGGCGTTCAAACCTTGGGCAGGGCCGGACACAAGTCTAGAAATTTCGTTGAGCTGTTTCAGCATCACTTGTAGATGATCCATCTGTTCTCTCAGGAAAAAGTTTCCTACATATCTGGTCTGATCAATAATTGCTAGGAGATTGTTCTCTCTTTCTGTGAAAGCTCGTTTACATCTGTAAAAATTATATCAGCTAGTTATGAAATATAGTAGATTTTTAATCGTTCTTTAAAAATATGTTATGTTTAAAATATGTTTTTTCCGATAACCAGCTATCGCACCCCTACGAACGACAACCCTCAGAAGTCGAAACTTGTGCGAGCTGAGGACTAACGAGGTCTTACTTTTTAACGAGTGATTCTTAACACGAGTTTGACGATAGTAAGTGAAAATCGAGCGTTCAGTCTGCGGCTTGAACCATCGACTCACACATCGGCCGATTGACTGAGTGAACAAGGCACCCACGTCGAACCGCCTGGCTACCGACCGGGCGGTTGGACGTGGCAAAAGATGATATCATTGAATCTTCACAAAACTTTGTATGGAACTGGAAATGTTCATTTGTACTAGTACTGGGGTTTTTATGGATACGCATAACACTGCATTTTTTTTTAATCGTCTAATTAAACGAATTCTGAACAGTCATTGCTCTTGAAAAATGTGCCCACGAACTGGTACCTGTATGTTTTCTTCCCGTTGTTGTACAAGTATACAAGATAAATGAAAACTGATGGTTGTGTCTAAGGGTCAAATTTTATGACGATCTTAACGGTGAAAACCGTATATTTATGGATATCATCGTTTTCTGAAATGTGCATTTTTGAAAATTTGCTACAGCTTTTTTTCTGTCAAAAATTTCTTGTTTTTATGAAAAAATTTCCAAAACACTTCTCACATAGAATTCAATACTGTAAAAAACTTATTTTTTGAAATGAGATATCAATATATAGTTATTGATGGAAAACTATTTTTTTAATGAGACAACCTGTATATTCCTGCGTATTTCAATAGAGCTTGAAATAACCATTCCGAAAATGTAGCACACTTGATATTTTGCTAGAGTCGTCTTTGAATTACAGAGATTTTAGGTTTTTTCATAAAGACTTTGAAACGCACACTTTGATCAAGTAGACTTTGGACGTCGTCGCGGCGATAAAACAAAAATAAATGTTCAGTAGTCAGTAGTAGATATCAAACGTTGAGAAAGCTTTTCACAGCAGTAATTAAAACGCATATTTTCAATAAATCGTGAGAAAAATGTATACTATATTTACTACTAATAAATGAAACTTCAACAATAATAATAATGAAAAACAAACAATGGAATATATTTCTTCAGAGGTGTTCGAAATGTCACCAACTTTTTCTACACACAGACGATACCTTTTCTGGACGTTTTTTACCGAATTAATTAATTCAAATAGAAGTTCGATACATATTTCAACCTTCCATAGGCGTCATGTCTGGTGACCTGGCCGGCCAACGGTTGGGTCCTTGGTTGGCTATCCAATTATTACCAAATTTTGCAGCCAAAAAATTGGTGACAATTGTAGTGTTGTGAGGTGAAGCCACGTCTTGTTGAAAATATATTTTTCTGAACTCCATTAGTGGCAATTCATCAACAAGGGGTTCATTATTCTGACTTAAAATTTTTAAATACCTCTGAGATGTGAGAGTGCCATTATAAATGAAGGGCCGATAATTCTACCCCTGAAAACACCTGCACATACACTAAATCCCAATTTTTCTCGACTTTTCTGCTCCACAATAGAATGAGGATTTTATTATGCTCAAGTATGATAATTTTAGCGGTTGAAAATGCCGGCACTGTTAACGTAAGCTTAGTCTGTCCAAATACAATTTAACGAAAAATCTCGCACTTGGTTACAACTTTCCAGGAACCACTTGACGTTGACGTTTTGGAATTATTTTCAACAGCTCTTGAAACGACTATTCCTTCCAACTCCCTATACCTATTTGATTCATATGGCCCTTTTTATTCAAATTGACCAACATCAATTAGGTTGTTTTGCAATCTTGCGAAAATGTCTCCAAAAGATTGTCTTCTCTCTGGATACCTCTCGTAATACAAAGTACTTGCTGCTTCTGCATTTTTCCCGGTTTGTATAAAACCGACTATCATATTCCATTTTTCATATTTCTCATACTTCATTGCGATTTTTTTTGAAAATTGAACAAAAACCACTAATTATCTTCTGCTATCTTATCTTTACTGCTTAAATTAAAATTTGACAGCTACCAGTAAAGATTTATAATAATAATAATACGTCTTTATTCACCATAAAAATACAAATGGAATAGACAAAAATTAAATAAAACAGTATACAGGAACAATAACAAAAACAAAGAAACAAACTTCCAGTATATAATATTTCCGAATACCAAACGAGAAACGTAGACAGCTATTCTGAATACGCTGTAGTCGGAGAGCATCCGATTGTTTTAAAGCAGGTCCATAAATACTGTCGCAATAAGAAATTTTTGACATAATCAGAGACTCGCATAGTTTAAGTTTGTGTTGAGCAAATCACGATTAGGAAAAAGCAGTCTGAGAACGTTATAAGAAGATAGCTGACATGTTTAGTAAAGCGAAGATCCAGATCAAACCACAATCCTAAATTTTTTATCTCGTCCACGGAGAGAAAGTATATCGTTTTCGATGCGAACTTGAAAGGTAGAGTTGGTGAGCTCTTTGTTCATCTTATCTCCGAACATCATTATTGCGGATTTGTCAGAATTGAGCTTGAGCTTATGGGCAGTAGAAATATCAAAGATGGCTTGGAGATCGTTATTAATATGCGACAGAGCAGATGTAGACTCGTAGGTGAAAAAGAGAAATATAACTGCGAGTCGTCTGCATAGTGATGTATATTGCATTTTTTCACGGACAGATAAAAGTCACAAATATACAAGCTAAAAAGCAAGGGCCCAAGGATAGATCCTTGTGTCACTCCCTTCAATACCTGTAGAGCATCTGAAATAACTTCAACCATAACAACTCTTTGATTACGATTCTTCCGATAGTTTTCTAAGAGAGATACTGCTTTCCGAGAAAAACCAAAGTAGACAAGTTTATTACACAATATCTCATGATCTACAGTGTCAAATGCCTTGCTGTAATCTAGAAGTATTAAACAGGTGAAATTTTGTTCATCTGCAGCTTGAAAAATATCGTCAGTAATTGACAGAAAAGCGGTGGTGGTACTATGCTGAGGTCTGAATCCTGATTGTATAGATGTTATGTAATATGATTTTCATTGACGTACTCATTAATCTGATTTTTCAGAATCGATTCCACTACTTTAGAGACATACGGTAGAATTGTAATTGGTCTTAGGTCAGAAAGGACAGTAGGTGAGTTACACTTAGCCAGAGGGATAACCAATCCATCCTTCCAACATTTTGGAAATTGGTGGTTGGTAATGATAAAATTTATGAGAAAGGTGAAGTGACTTATCAAAAAAGAGTCAATGAGATTGATCATTTTGAGGGATATCCCGTCAGAACCCAAAGCGTTGTTCTTGATGCGTCTTGGGGAACTTCGCACAATCTCACAGGTGACAGGTGAAGTGAAAAGAGTTTTCAGTTTCTTCCGAATCAACATATCGATCTAATAAGGATAATTGGTGAGCAGATCTGATAGGTTGAGGTATGGAATTGAAGGGCTGGTTAATGAGATTGACGTCTTTTAATTCTTCAGGGATATCTGATTTTTTGTTGTTACTCAGGATATCAAGCGTTCTGAAGGTATTCCAAGTTGTTTTGGAATTTTCATTTCTTAAAACAAAGTCCAGATATGCTTTTTTCTCACGTCGTATCGCACTACATTTGCATTTTGTTTTATGGCCGCATCGTCCAAAGCCTACTTGATCGAAGTGTGCGTTTCATCATTGAGTTTGTCATTAAATTTAACTATCAGACACAACATCAGTTTTCATTTATCTGGTGTGTCCAATTTGGCCTATTCTGTACAACAAATGATATTTTATTAATTTTCTATTTTTATTGTAACTCTGAAGACGGCGAGAAACGTCGCCGAAACATTGGGAATAAAATTGTAAATTAATGAATACCTACGTGTTTCATGTCCAATTGCAAGTGAATTGTAAAAAAAATACAACACAAGAGAATCATTTGTATTGTATTACCCGGTTCTTTCCATGTGATAGAATATTGGTAAAGAGAGGCCAATAAAAGCCAGTTTAGTAATTCTAAATTAAGCCAGACCGCCATATCTTTTTTACGTTATAATGTACTTTATCAAAGCACAATTATTTGCTTTCATATAACTTGAAATATAAAGAAATATATGTTTAACCTCCTTCGGAGTATTTTGAAAGAATTCCTTCTCTCATCATCTAGATCAAATTTCAAAAATATACTTTTTCAAATGTACACTGAAACTTCTTGAATACTTTCAAAAACTACACCACACAATTTGATCTTCACAAACTTTATTTTGAAAAATATATCACGTTTCACTAGCACAGTAGCTTTTTTAAGTGATTTATACTTCAAGTTGTTCTACATTGGTCAAACGGGCAGGACATTCTGGAATCGAATCCAGGAAAATCATACGAGCTATGTAAATAAGAAAACATATTCAAATCATCTTTTAGAAGAAAATCATATCTTTGATGAAGAATTCGAAATTTTGCACATAGAAAATAAATGTTTAAAACTGAATCATTTGGAAGCAATGGAAATTTATAAACTTAAAAATTCAAACATTCTAATGAATGACCAACTGGACCAACCATTATTGAACTTGTTTTCTTAAAAACCGAGGAAGAATTATTATTGATGTAGATGTGAGGTAATATGTTTCAGGTAATCATGATTGAACAGGTACCTTAGGTAGAGGTTTAGGTAATTTTTTTGAGGTAGTTTCAATTGTGGTTACCTGTAATATACAAATATTAATGTAAGAACAGTAAGTAAGTAAGTATAAATCACTTGAAAAAGCTACTGTGCTAGCGAAACAATAAAGTTTGTGAATATCAAATCGTGAGGTGTAGTTTTTGAAATTACTATGGATCTTCATCAAGTAACGGCCGAATCAATCAGAAAATTCTAGAATACTGTTTCAGTTGAGGATCATTTGGTGATTTTTCATAATAAGTGAAGCAGCAGCATATGGTTTCTTCCTTTGTTACTTGTTGCTCATTTTATGAATATTTTTGGAATTTCTTGTTGAGTACTTATGAAAATCTTCATTTATGATAATTTTAATGTTATTTTTCTGGCCATTTTGAGTATTTTCAAAACTAAATTCCTCAGTGCCTATTTCGAAAACTTTAACCAGATATTTTCCTGGGTATTTATTGATGCCTATGACTAAATAGACATCTGTCGAAGAAAACAAATAAATAATCAAATGGAATAACTGCAAATATCTTAGAATTTTTTTGTCCATTTTTAAAGACGGATGGGCAAATTTTGGCCTCCGAAACGTAAAGATAAGTATTGTATTTTTTCTTTTCAAGTTAATGATGAATAGAACATTTTTCTTTGTGAAAAATACTTTGATTTTACGCAGTAACTTATCGGGCTAAACTAAAAGGTTTGCCCTTTCTACACTTGTATAAAGTTCTCTTCAAATTGTGGAAGATAAAAAATAGGTACCCAAAAAAAGGTCGATGAAACACTTTTGAAACGTACTCATTGATATGATTCAAAACCAGCGTTAGGTTGGTTTTGAAACGGAATTTGACATTACGTTACGTCAGTTGTCAGTGTCTGCTTTATTTTAATCGTAATTGTTTATGAAGTGCTCAAAACTTTTTCATCAAATACGTTGTGAAGATGTACAAAAAAAGATGCACAAATCCGATTATAATTGAGTGAGAGAAAATTGAACAGTTTGTTTTCATTATTGAATTTGACATCCGATACAAATTCGAATCGTTTTTGAATACACGCTCGAATACGATTAAACCCCAGAAAACACCTCCAGTTGGGAGCTTATTTGAAAATAGCGATTTGAGATAACCGATCTAATTGCCTGCTTCGCTTTGTACACGGGGGAAATTTCCATGAAGAGAGATGAAGAATCGAAAGAAATCCTTAAATATGTGTACATATTTACAATCTTAGGTTAATGTAGGTTAATGTTCTGACACCTATCGGAAAACAACTACTCCGTTGGCTAATACCACGAAGGGCGTTGGATTATATCCGACAGCCAGTCTTCAAGTATGCCTCCTTTACTACGAGGGTTGCCTTTTATGTTACGTGATTTGGCAACCCTGGTGTTGCAATCTGGCAACTGACAGCTCTATCGTAAAGTTGGACGTTTTTTAACTTATACGTACTCAGAAAGCTTTGCTTTACGCGCGCTATTTGTGTTGTTTACAGTACCTTAAAAGATTCATCTCGGCCCAAAAATGGAATTAAATCGTGAATAATTTCGTGCGATTATTTTTTACAATTAATTACCTACACTGTAGGTTAATGTTCTGACACCTATCGGAAAACAACTACTCCGTTGGCTAATACCACGAAGGGCGTGGATTATATCCGACAGCCAGTCTTCAAGTATGCCTCCTTTACTACGAGGGTTGCCTTTTATGTTTCGGGATTTGGCAACCCTGGTGTTGCAATCTAGCAACTGACAGCTCTATCGTAAAGTTGGACATTTTTTAACTTATACGTACTCAGAAAGCTTTGCTTTACGCGCGCTATTTGTGTTGTTTACAGCACCTTAAAAGATTCATCTCGGCCCAAAAATGGAATTAAATCGTGAATAATTTCGTGCGATTATTTTTTACAATTATTTTTTTTACAATTATTATTACAATGGATTAACTCAGCAAAAGTGCATGGATGAACTTTAGTCAATTTTTAGCGATGAACCTCTATCAAGGACCAGTGTTTATCGATGGTATGGTGTATTCAATCGTGGTCGTAATTCACTCCAAGACGTTAAGGTCATCCAAAATCAGTTGTTGTTCGGAAAACCATTGATGCTGTGCGCTAACTGATATTGCAAGATCGTCATGTGACCTATCGTTAGATTGAGACAACCTTAGGCATTAGTGGGACCAGCATACATTCAATATTGCATAAACAATTTGTCAATCGCTCAAAAAAAAGCTCGTGTCGATTGGTCGAAGGAAATGCTCAAAAAATACGATCGCGGTGCTTCAAAACACGTCTATGAAATCATGGTAGGTGATGAATCGTGGATTTACGCGTATAAGCCCGAAAGTAAACAGCAGTCGACTGTATGGGTGTTTCAAGATGAGCCAAATCCAACAAAAGTTGTTCGTGCACGAAGCACTTCCAAGCACATGGTCGCCTGTTTTCTCGGAAAAACTGTACATGTCACAACCGTACCACTAGAACAACGCAGAACAGTCAATTCCGAGTGGTACACAACCGTTTGTTTGCCAGTTGTCTTCCAAGAAATCAGGAAAACTAACCGCCGAAGACGGATCACTCTTCACCACGACAATGCGAGCTCCCACACATCGGCTCAAACAACTGCATTTTTGAGTACTCAACTAGGCACGCGAAAACTAGGCACCAACAATTCAACAAACAGCTGTAAAGTAAGCTAAATCACGAAAACTAATAGAGTCCGATAAAAAATAAAAATTGTTCTGGATTCCAATCATCATGTAGAAAAAATCGCGAAAATCCGTGAGTATTCCATAAAGTACAATTCAGCCTATTCTATTCGGAACGAAATGTCTGAACATTCCTTTTCTCAACTCTTACTTTTGAACTATATAGATATGTATATTATACCTTTTTATAACATTGCGAACATCAGCAGCTGCCTGGATCGATTTGGAATCAACATCATCACCCATGCGTTGGACTTTTTCTATCCGTTTTCTCACTGATTCCGAAGCTTTCCGAACTTCAGTAACGAGTTGGAGACTTTTATTTTTCGCCAATAGCATAGATAACTCAATCGCTTCGTAGAAATGGGATGAATGTTCAGTTGCGGCACATTGGCTACAAATGTTGACGGCGCAGTCATTGCAATATGTTCTGAGATCCCTATGGTGGATACTGCATTGTTCCACCTGGAAAATAGTGCGTTTTAGTATGTATGATGAGGGTCTGTTTTCCTTTGTCCTGATGAGCAAATTTAGCTATCGAGCTATCGCCTAACCTGATTTCTCTAGCCTGTACTAAGAAATGGATTGGAAAAACACCACATTGTATAGTGCATTGAAAGTATAATCTAGTCATACGCAGTACATTGAGATACTGAATCGATATTGATCGCAACAAATGAATCGTACTTACCAAAGTGTGGCTGAATATCAAGGATTCAAATGAATCGAAACTGGTGCTAGGCATTATCGGCGGGCTTGCGGATGAACTGGAAAGTGATGGTGGCGAATGAAATGGCAAGATTGTGTTTGTCAGAAAATCCATTTTGAATGGTTCCTTTGATTGATCTATGGGAGTTATGGTTGGAGGCTTGATTAAACTGTAAAAGAAACATTTGTCAAAAATAGAAATGAATATTATTATATCGATCTCACTTCAAACATGAATTTCGATGATTTTCTTATAGAAGTAAAGTTTTATAACTTAAATTTAAATATTCAAACTGTCACTCATGAATTGCGTTACTTGGGCAACTAAATCTTCTGATTGTATCGTTTTATATGAATTTATACAAAGTGTTCTGAAATTTGATATCAAATCAAATCACTTTATTTCTTCAAGACAACATACAGTTGTATAAGAGTCATGGTTACAACCGCAAATGATTTTTTTCTGTGATACGAGGACGTTATTCGATAGTGTAGAGTCTCCCCATAGGCAAATACCATACCTCAGTCGACTTTCCACTTGTGCATAGTATAAGTTTATTAATTATTGCCGTGTCAAAACAACTTTGAGATTTCTGAACTTATAGTGAAGGGATGAAAGTTTGGAAATCAGGAGCTTGCAATGTTCTTTCCAATCTAAATGTGAGTCAACGAATAGTACTAAGAAATTACAGCTGTTATTTATAGGCAGAAGTGTGTTATTTAAAATTATATCTGCATCTACCAATTCCCTCTGATGACTATGGAATTTCACAAGGTTAGTTTTGTCTGCATTGAAATAAGGAGTAATTTGATTGAACCAAGAAGTTAGTTGGCTTAGAGCAGTTTCACAGGTTTCTTTTAGTTCTATTTGATTTTTATTGAAAATCAGTAAAGAAGTGATGTCTGCATAAATAGTCATCTCAATATCCGAAAAGGAATATGCGATTTCATTTATGTACAAAATAAAAAGAACTGGATCCAAACAAGATTCTTGTGGAACACCTATATTAATATCGATATTGGCAGATGTAACATTACGAATTATTTTGATGTTTTCACACTCACATACTGAGAACGACATCTAATAAATGATTCTAACCATTCCAGACAAACACCTCTAATACCATAGTTATACAACTTTGATAAAAGAATATCGTGGTCCACACAGTCGAAAATCTCCATTGGGACCTCTCCTTGTTCTATATGGTTTGAGATTGTCATAGAACTCATTGATTTACTAGATCGAAAACCGTGCTGGCTATTTGTCAAAATATTATGCTCATTGATAAAATTCATCAGCCTGTCCAAAAATCCATATTCGAAAACTTTCGAGAAACTACTGCAAATCGTTATAGGTCTATAATTTTCCAAGTAATCGGGACAGTGTTTTTTATAAATAGGAATGACATTTCCTTTCTTGAGGGTTGTGGGGAATTTCCCTGTTTCGAATGAAAGATTCAGTAAAAATGTCAAAGGTCCTATTATAACATTCATAATTTTTTTTAACGAAAGTGGGTATTTTATCTGGACCTGCGTATGTTTTATTTTTCAGCCTATCACTGAACAGATCACATGTTAAAAGGTAAGACTTCGTTAGTTCTTAGCTCGCACAAGTTTCCCAACTTCTGAGAGTTGTTTTAAACAGAACAGATTAGATGATAACGGTCTGAGAAATAGACAAGGTATAAGAATTTCTTGGGTATTGTTTACTGCAGTATTTGTCTGGATGATCTTTGTTTAAGTTCTGGTTGGACATTTAAAAAAAATATTAAACAGATCTGATACAATAACTGGGTTCTCCACTTTTATATCATTGCGGAACACATTGATATTTTTGTATCCTGTTTTGTTTTTATTGTTCATTTCGGATATTACTTTCCAGGCAGTTTTACCAGGATCATCAGAGTTGAGAATATTATTTTGATAGTATTGTTTCTTTTTAGATTCTAAAAGCCAAAAGTGTCGTTTTTGTGATTCTCTGTTGAAATCAGGCAGCACTGGCTATTTTTTTTTCAATAAATGATGATCCTTCAACTTACAACTCGATAATTTGACATCCATGTCCACTCATTTTATAACGTTAGGTCTACTACACCCCGTCGTAATGGATAACTAATGTCAAAATAATAGAAGAATAATCCTTTGGAAATATCATATGCATGGTCAATATCATTAGTTTGATAAAGTTCACTCCAGTTTTCATTTCGAAGTGCAATTTCGAAATTCTTGTGAGAATAATCATTATATACATATTCTTGTATGGAACAAGAAGGAAGTGTCTCGCGTGTTTTGGGTGGTTTCCGAAATTTCATAGAAAATATATCTGTGGTCAGATATATTATCTAAATCAGTAATGACTCCATCATTATGGAAATTAATGAAAATATTATCTATTGTGGAAATGCTATTTCCTTGCACCCGAGCAGGCCAATTCACTTTATGTATAAAGTTAAAACATGGTTCGATTTAACAAAATCTTTTGAGTTACAGTTCACAGTAGGACAATGCAAATTGCATACCGAAAAACAACTGCATTCCCTGGCTAATACCAAGACAGATACTGAATCATTCCCGACAGATATTTGTACAGCTTTCCTCACTAAGGAAATTTTTGCAGATACTTTCTGTTTGTTCAGCAGCAGGAACATTGAAATTAAATCAGTCATCGATTTAGTATTACTTTTCATCAGTGCAGGACAGATCCAACCAAGACAACAGTGTTTCTGTATTGTTAGTGTAATTATCGTCTATAATTTCAATATATTGAATATGCATTTCTTTAATCTGATACAAATAATTTGAAAAAAACATAAATAACCGAAGAACTGTAAGGTAATTTCACGTAGAGTGCAAAGCCACAGCTAATATGCAGGTTGCTCCATTTAAATAAATATAGTTTAAAAAAACTGATAAACACGCTTTCAATGAACGTCGAAATAAAAAGTTCAAAATAATTTTTTTTCAAATAAGCTTTAAACAATAACGAACGAAAAATACTAGTATTATTGTGGAAGAAGCTTGATATACAAAAAATATGGCACAAAGCGCCGACGCTTTTTTCACAATAATACTAGTATTTTTCGTTCGTTTTTATTTCAAGCTCATTAAAAAAAAATTTCAACTTTTCAGTTCGATGTTCTTTAAAAGCGTGTTTTTTAGTTTTTTAAACTATATTTGTTTTTCATTTTTTAGTTTCGTATGCTATAAAAGCGTGTTTTCAAATGAAGAAATACATGTAAAGAAAGTTCGAATTATATCAAGGAGGTTACGTACAGCGCCATCTACCCGCGAATAGATCAAGCAATAATGTCGATAATTCTGTCAAATACAGATCCCGAGCATTCAAACGGGAAAGAAAAAAGACAAACAAACAAACATACAAACATACATACAGGTGAAGCTAATATAAGCTTGGTAAAAAAATCGTGACACTTGAAGCGCCCTGTATAAAATGAACAATGACGTGAACTTTTCACTACTTTGGTGTTCTCTACGTTACTTCACATAACCATCTTTATTAGGAACGAAGGCATCAGTTCAATATCAAAAATAAAATGGTTGTCCTATTTGAAAAATACATTTCTTACTATAGGAGAGAATTTAACATTCCGTGCATTTTCAAAACGTGACCTTTCTGGTGTTCTTTTATATACAATTTTTATTATATATAACTGCGTCGTACAAGTACAAGATGTTAAATATCGAGTCGGTTGTGGCGTAATCATGATATGAATGACTGCATATTTTATTTAACTCAACTCATCCTTTTCCCAATAATATTCCAAATCATTTCATATGATACATTTGAAAAATTTATATAGCATATAGACGTTAATGATGAATACGGTTGAAGATTTTTTTAATGATTAGGCCAACTCAAAATGAACATTACCTGATGGTTACTTTTGTTTTTTCTCTATTTCTATATTTTTGCCTATTCCATTATATGTTCAGCGAAAGTAATTTTTCTAATAATAAAGTTTTTAAATCCATGGGTTGATGGAATAACGTAATTTAAATTGATTTTTTTCCGAATTATGTTATACCTATATGAAAATACTACAAAAATGCACATACTGAAAGATAATTACCAACCAATACTTTGTTGGAAACATTATATAACTATNGATTGATGACCCATCTTAACCTAATTTCGTGATTTTTTCCAAATCTCTTCAGATACCACTATTCCGACAGAAATATATAGCCCGAATTGACAGCTTGATTCATTGTTTAAAAATAACTCATCAGGATATCGCGGAACAAATAAGGACTTACTTTCAAAGTGACTACCAAATATCGAATAGCCTTGTAGGGAAAATCCAGCTTGGTAGATTGAAATGTACCAGGGTGGTCCCAGAAGTACACGGCCTGACCTAAAGATGGCGGTAGTTGTTTGAAAAATATCACTTTATTAGAAAGTACACAATCTATGAAGCACATGTTTCGAGTTTGAAGACGCTGCGTTGTTTAGTATTTGTTTGGCAGCCATCAATAGCGAACGTTTTCGATGAATTTGTAAATATGGAGAAAATTGGTCATCGTTATGTGATACTTTTATTTAAAAGCCCTCAGCCCAACCAATATAATAACTGAACTGGATTCTACTCTACTACCAAGATGAGCATCTAGTGGTCAACCAAATGAGGTGACGACTTCTGAAACCGTGAAAAAAATACACAAAGTGGTACTGAATGATTGTGGACTGAATGTGCGCGAGTTAGCAGACTCAGTAGGCAGAACTTCGTATATTATTTGAGAATTTGGACATATGAAAGCTGTGTGAACGTGGGTGCCGCGTTTGCTCACACTCGGGCAAAAACAGTATCGTAAAGATGTTTCAATTGAGTGTTAAGCGAAGTTTCACAGCAACAAAGCAGAATTCCGGTATCGTTTCATAACCATGGATGAAACATGGGTCTATCAATTTACACCCAAGACAAAAGAAAAATAAAAATAATGGACTCAAAAGGGAGAAATAGCTCCAAAGAAAATGAAGACCGTTTCATCTGCAGGAAAGGTCATGACATTGGTTTTTTGGGATGCGGGTGGAATAATTTTGATTGACTGTCTTAAAAAAGGTAAAACTATCAACGGCGAGTACTTTTGGGGTCACTCTCTATTTAATTTGTGAAAAAAATCAATACTTTGGATCTATTGGCATTCAAATAAAGTAACAGTTGTGATTATTAGATCTGTTCATCAGACTTTTTATATGTTTAAAGTATGTTTTTCCGTTAACCAGCTGCCGCACCCCTACGAACGACAATCCTCAAAAGTCGAAACTTGTGCGAGCTAAGGACTAACGAGGTCTTACCTTTTAA